GCTGGTGACTCAGTTGGGAGAATTAATATTTCATCACCCAGCTCAACGTTCCTTCCCCACAGCACTGGAGCTTTCCCCTCCTGTGGATGGGGATCCATTTTCAGCCAAAGGGGATGCAAATGGGGCAAATCCCACGCCCAGATGACTCTGCTGCTGGAATTTTACCTGGCTCTGGGGCTACAGGGCCTCGTGTTCTTCCAGCACAGTTTTAGAAAGCAGAATTGTTTTCCAGTGAAACGCATCTCTTCACTGAAAATAATTCAGTTTTCTGAAATCTAGGAAGGTATTTGACCAGGGTAACCATCCCTACAGTAAAACATATCCCTGAAATTACCCCTAAATCAAGCTCGGGGGAACTTGATAAGAGAATGGAAAATACAACCACAAAACTTCATGAAGTTTTAAAAAAAAAAAAAATCAGCATCATCTTCACCTCGGGCTGTCAGTGAAACGCTCTGGGCCAACCCTGACCTCCAGAGCCCGTTCCCTCTGCTGGCACATCCCACCAGGAAACCTGCGGAGCCCTGGACGAGTGTCAGAGCGGATTAGGAGGCTGTGAACACCCTTTGGACACCAGAGTGCCACTCTGGCACTCTTTGAGAGTTCAAACCAGGCGTTTTAGGGCCCAAAAGTTCCCTCCCTCTTGCATTTCTGGAAGGCTGAGTGGTGAAACTGGGCTCGATTTCACTTCACCCACAGCTCTAACCCTGCCTCTTCCTCGCCCTGCCCTTCCAAAGGCACTGACTCAGTGACCCAGTGCAGGTTGCAAACCTCATATCTGACTTTTTCAGAGCAGCAAAGCCCCTCCCCACACGCCTGGCACAGCCTTTTGGAGGAGCCCCCTCCACTGGGGCACTGCCACTTAGGGGAAAAAGCAATTTTTATTTGATTTCTGACCCAAAACCACGACAAAACAGAAGAATTGCACAACACCCCTCACGCTGAGGGAGCAGAGCCTATAAAAAAAAAAAGTGAGCCAGCCCATCCCCAAAGGGGAGGGGGCTGTGAAGGCACAGAGGTGGCAGGACTGGGATTTCTCCCCCAGCCTGTGGGGTGGATGAGGGATCTGGGCAGCCCCCAACATCCCGTTATTCCCTGTTCCAAAGGGATGCTCTACACACCCTCAAAGCCTCAGAACCAAAATGAGCCCCTCCACAACCCAGCACCATCCAGAGCCAGAGCTAAGGGATGCTCCTGGCCACGGGAGCTCCCTGCAAACATCCACAGCCGCCCTGGACCCCAGAGCCTTTGGGTTTGGTGCCAAGACCCACGCGCCCCTATTGCCCCCTCTCAGTGACCCCGATCTGCCTCTCTGCACCCCCCCCA